GTAAGTTTTATTTTCCTTTTCATTTTTTTCATTTTCTGTAAGGTAATATCCAGTCTGCCCAGAACCACAAGCTGTCAATATTCCTCTAAAACAACAAGTTCCATTCTCTTTCATATTAAATGTATTTCTTTATTGATTGTATCATTTCTGAAATTGCAATCACCTACTCCTTAAATCTCTCCTCATATTTCAATGCTTATGAAATGGGAAGGACTGAGAACATTATTTACAAAGTGCACAGAACTTTGAAAAAGACCCTATTATTCCCAAGACAATTCTATTCACATTCAAATGAAAAATAAAAGCTTCTTTACAAACTGCTACTTTTACAATTTTAAGAAAAGTTTAGCAATAATTTAAAAAGTTTAGCAATAAATTAAAATCATGACTTTATATACTCTACAAAAATTTTAAACTGAACGCAGAATATCAACAATTGTAAAATTAAAATCTAAAGAAAAAACATTTTTTTAAATTATGACTTTAGATGTTTAGGCCTTATGTCAGGAAGAAAGCCTCAGAAAATGAGAAACTTTTGTTCAAATTCAAGGCTGACTACTTCAATACCAAGAAGATAATTATCAACCTTTGAATTGTAAAAATTAAACATTTGCTTTAAACAAGCTACTGCTTGTTTAAATTTAAATAATTTCAAACTCATGGGCACCTGGCTGGATCAGTCAGTAGCACATGATACTCTTGATTTCATGGTCATGAGCTCAAGACCCACATTAGGAGTAGAGTTGACTTAATAGAAAAAAAAATTTTTTTAAATAATAATTTCAAACTCGCTATAAACATTTTTAAAGGATTTCTCCAGACCCTCTGAGCTTGTGTGGCTGCAGTTTTAGAAAGTTAGAGAGCAATTTTCTGGTATCTTTTTCATAAAAGGTGAGTGTACAAGCAATTACACAGTTCAAAAAAAAATAATGGAGTTAGAAAATGTATATGAAATGACAGGTTGGTATGTTATTGCACATGATTTTACAAAAGTCACTCAGACAATAAACATCCACTGAGCCACCTGCTATCAGCCACAGCCCTTAAGAAGTTCACTGTGTAAACAGCAATGATAAATCATATAATCAGATAAATTACAGCATAATGTGTTAGATGAAAAAATAGAACTGAAATATATAGAGAAAAATTCCTCTGGCTAACTCATTTCAAGTTATACATCAACTAGAATCTTGCTAAAGAATATGGTCCATGAACCAGCAGAACTGCCATCATCTAGAAGCTAACCAGTCAGAAATACAAAATCTCAGGTCCCAAGCAAATCTACTGAATCTACATTTTAACATGATCCCCAGGTAACTGTAATGCACATTTAAATTTTGAGAAGCACTGGCCTGGAACATAACTGAAAATACATGAGTAAGTATTATCTTGTACTTTTAAGATCTTTGGGCCCCATCTTGAACCTTTTTACAAATGTACACACGGTTTAACACGGTTAGCTACCTAGTATCACAGATTAAGAACAAACTGGGAAATACTACTAAGAAAGAAAGAAAACAGAAAAAACTAACAAAAAGCAATCTCAAAAAGAGATGGTTTTATGAGGCCATTCATTTAACATAGCAACTATCTACCCATTCTGCCTAGATAGGTCTCACTGTATTACAAAAGTATAATAGTAATCTATATTCTTTTTTTAGATTTTTTTTTAATTTTTATTTACTTATTTGACAGAGATCACAAGTAGGCAGAGAGGCAGGCAGAGGCGGGGGGGGGGGGGGGGGGGGAGCAGGCTCCCTGCTGAGCAGAGAGCCCGATGCGGAGCTTGATCCCAAGACCTTGTGATCATGATCTGAGCCAAAGGCAGAGACTTAACCCACTGAGCCACCCAGGTGCCCCAGTAATTGATATTCTTAAATGTGCCTCCTCTAACTAGACCACAAATTCCTTGAGGACAGGGACCTAGTTTTTTTCTTATACACTTAACTCTGTAAACTGAATGACCCTAAGTCACTGAGCTAAGTTCAGGTTAGGCAATGAGATATATAACACATTTCAGGAAAAATTACAATAAAAATGTGACTTGGGGCCCCTGGGTAGCTCAATCAGTTAAGCATGTGACTCTTGATTTCAGCTCAAGTCATTATCTCAGGGTCAAAAGATGGAGCCCCTCGAGGAGCCTGGTTAAGATTAAGGTTCTTTGCCTCTCCCTCTGCCTCTCTACCAACGCCCCCCCCAACAACACACACAAACACACACACACTCTCTCTCCAAAAAAAAAAAAAAGTGACTTTTTTGGGGGAAGAGTAAACCCTCCCCATTCCATAACAATCCATTTACCAGTCTAAGAACAGAGGCTTTCCAAATCTATGACTCCAAATCCAAATGTCTTCTCTGACTATATTCAAACTCACTCCGAGGTGACACCCCAGAGTGGAGTCTCAAGCAGAAAAAAGGGAGAAAGATTACATGAGAATGGAAGGAGAGGAGAAATCAAAGAACACCTCGGGGTTCCTCCATTCATGAAAATAAAAACAGCAAAAACTAAAAGCCACACAAAAGGTACAGTAGCCCTAGAAGAGAACAAATGCTACCTTTAACAACCATTAATTCCATGTTCCTTGCCTCTGTGAATCAGACTCATACTCACAATCCTCCTAAGAACTTCTCAAAGATATTTTAACTCTAGAAACATTTCTCACGGTGAGTGAGCTGAATAAAGCCAGTTTATGATATAAAAAATTAACACTTCCAAGACAACAAATTTCATGAAGTTCTAGTCCTCACTCTCCAAACAATCATTAGTTTCCTTGCCTATGTCCATACTCACACTATTACTCCTTTCAGAGGCCCTTCCCATCTGTTACTCTGAATGCACTATCCAATGTTAGCCATTAGCCATGTGTGGCTATTTAACATCTGCACTGTGGCTAGATCCAATTGAGATGTAGGCTAAAAGAAAAATACACGTTGAAATTTGAAGGCTTATTACCAAAAAAGATATAAAATTATCTAATTGGTTTCTTTCAGCAATGATATATTGAAATAGTATTTTAGATATAATAAAATAATTTCAACTGCTTTTGTTGTTGTTACCATTATTTAGTTTTTAATGTGGCTACTAGAAAATTTAAATTACAGGGCACCTGGCTAGCTCAGTTGGTGGAACATGTGTCTTTTTTTTTTTTTTTAAGATTTTATTTATTTATTTATTTGACAGAGAGAGAGAGAGAGAGAGAGCGCACAAGTAGACAGAGAGGCAGGCAAAGAGAGGGGGAAGCAGGCTCACTGCCGAGCAGAGAACCCGATGCGGGGCTCGATCCCAGGATCCTGAGATCATGACCTGAGCCGAAGGCAGAGGCTTAACCCACTGAGCCACCCAGGTGCCCCAACATGTGTCTTTTGATCTCAGGTTGTGAGTTTAAGCCCCAGGCTGGGTGTAGAGATTACTTAAAAAGTTTAAAAAAGGGGGTGCCTGGGTGGCTCAGTGGGTTAAAGCCTCTGCCTTCGGCTCAGGTCATGATCCCAGAGTCCTGGGATCAAGCCCCTCATCGGGCTCTCTGCTCAGCGGGGAGCCTGCTTCCTCCTCTCTCTCTGCCTGTCTCTCTGCCTACTTGTGATCTCTCTCTGTGTCAAATAAATCAAAAGAAAAAAAAATTAAAGAAAATTTTAAATTAGATATGTGGCTCACATTATATTTCTATTGGACAACACCAGTCTAAATCCTGTTGATTCTTCAAGGCCTAATTCTAATACCTTTGCTTCCATGAAGTTTTCTCCAATAACTGCAAATGGAAGCGGCTTCTGTCCCCCCCCTGAAATCCCGTAACATTTTCACTCACATTCCCAAAGAGCTGGATCAACTTTACCTTGTTACTGAGTGTAACTGTCACAGCTCTAATATAAGCAAATTGAGAAAAGAAACTATATGTAGGTCACCGGTAAGTTTTCCTCCTACACCTTGGAGAGTACATGCATGCACTAAGGTAATACTGGATGTCTGCTAATTGAAAATTGAATTTCTCAGTTATTATCTATCCCTTTCAATGATTTCCACTTCAGGATTAAAATCCATGTCTAAAATGTCTTGTATAAATTTTAGGCAAACAGCTTTATTACATGAGCTGTATACATGTCACATGATGAAAAAGCAAATCTAAAACTATCTAATATATGTGGTCAACATACTTAAATACAAAAATTCAAAAAGCCTCTAAAGGTTTCATCTCTGTTTTTATGATATTAATGTCCCTAAAAATATTCTGTAAAGATCCACTATTTCAAAAAGAGGAGCCCTTCCCAAAGATTAATGACACTGGGTCACAAACTCCACCGAAAACTACTGCAGGTCCCTCCCCCCCTCCACAACTCTTAAGTATAAGTCAGGTAAGCATGCAAAGGCTTGGGAGCAGCAAGAGCAATGTCCAGAAAGCATCCAAAGCTGTAAAGATTGAGCTGTGAGGAAAGTGATCAGAAGAAAAAAGACGACTTGTGTGAGACGAATAAATGGGAACTGCTGAAACGCAAAACAAGAAATAAAAGCTAGAATAAAAAACAGCTCAACTCTGTGGGAGGGATCCTCCCCTGAGTATGTCTCTCAACCTCTCAGGCAAAGGTTGAGGTGGTCATTTCAAGGGTCCTGTCTTCAAATGGTATTCTAGTGCCTAACATCTGTATCCGCGAAACTTCTTCTGAACCAACCTACTCTAACTCCCAGGGCCACGTATTCCGGCCAAACCCAGTCCTGAAGCCACTCTCTCCAGCACGTTTTGGAAACCGATTAACGAAAGCGGAGGACCGAACTGAGACCCAGTACCCGGGTGACACCCCTCTCCCTTGGAATCGGGCCTTAGCCCCTCTGTCTTGACGGAATTGGCTGAACGAACCCGGCCGGCAGAGGGGGCGGGGCACGGCAGTGGACTTTGTCTAGAAAGGGTCTTCCCGTTCCATGCTGGAGCCTGCTGGTGTCTCAGGGACGGGCAGGACGGTGAGAAGGAAGAATAGAACAGCAATAAGAATCAGCCCTGGGCTTCACTCACCAGCCGTCACCGCTCGACGTTGGCTCTGGCAGGACCTCTTCTCCTTCCGCCATTGCTGTTGACGTCCACGTCACTTTGCCGAAAAGTGGACCCGGCGCCGGGACCGACTCGGAGATCCAACGTCGTAAAAGATTCTCGGAAGTCTGAGACTGAGCTTCTGGAGAGGAAAAGAAAAAGGGAGGAGGGAAGAGACTGGAGGAACGCAACGTCACGACAACCCCACCGCGAAAGCCAGCTTGGGGGAGGAGACTTGGTCAAAGCTGTTGCCCTTTCAAAGACTACGTGTCCCAGGATGCCCCGGGGGCCCGGACGGAATGAGAGCGTAGGGAGAGTAGGCGAAGCTGGATGAGGGAGCGTGACCTTTGAGCATCGACTTTTAGCGTCCGTTTGGCTTCTTCGTTACTTCTTGGCGTCCTACTTAGCAAAGTCAGAACTGGGAATCCTCGCTGGTGGGAAGGATAGGAGGAGAGCGGGGAATGCCACAGGGAAGGTGGAAAGTAGGAGGATAGCCACATTTCAGTCATTTCCGACTGTAACAACTGGGTTTGCGGAAAGAGTTGTGTCTGAGGAAAGGTCACGCCCACTCCTATTTGTGGGACGCGGTCAAACGTACAAATGGAGGCCACGTACTTTCTGCCTGAATATAGTTGTTTGAAAACAAGCGCTAAAAACAAAGAAAATATGCTCCAACCTACTCCCTGGATACATATCTTCTTAATAACCTGGAAGATCAAATCCAAATTAAGATTTCAGAATTCCTGGAGTTCCAAACAGAGTTGCCACGTTTCTTCTCTTCCCACCCTACTTCTTTTCCTCTCACAAGTATGGGCACCTTGGCCTCCACATCTAAGCTCGGTCCACATCACTGACATCGAAGCACCAGCCTCTTGTCTCCGCTTGTCCATAACTGGCGTGCACAAGCGCAGGAGGATGAACCAAGGGAAATGCTTTTACAAGCCCTGAAACCAAAACAAATGAAGTAGAAATGCATGTAGCAGTATGAATAAATCTGAAAAAAACATAATGTTAAATGGACAAAACAGATTGCAGAAGGTTAGGTAAGGTATGGTGTCATTTATATTTGGTGTTAAAAATGGGCAATACGATATACTGTTTGATGAATAGGTGCCTATGTGCTTTTTAAAAATGAAGGGGAACGATAGAAAAACTGGAATGGAATTTCTCATACAGCCAGACATTAGTTAAAGCAGTGAAAACAGATTTTATTCAGAAACTACTGACAGTAGGACAAAGAGAGGAGCTCCATTCCAATTGGTGCAGAGGTGATTAGAGGTTTTAAAGGGAGAATGAGGGAGTAGGGAGAGTGGGAGCTCATTAGAGTCAGAGAAGTGAAAAATTACAAAGGGTTAGCCAGTGTGATTGTGATTATGCCAGCTGTGTCTGCTAGTTGGCAGTTTTTGAAGTTAGGATTCTATCCTCCCACAGAGGCTGGGAGATACCCCCTGTCATTCCAGATGATTACATTTCAAAGAAATGACTCTCAGGTCCTTGAGAAGGAAACTTTTAAGTTTTAAGAGAAACATATTCACAGTTGTAAGCCCTTTCTAATAAATGCTCCAAGAAAGAGAGGTCAGGAGCATATCAGGATTGGCTAGTACGAAAAGTGAATTCTGGCGGTTGAACTTTCTCAATCAGGCATTTTAATGAGGAGCTGGATTTCTGTGGGAGGCCTAGAGTCCTCCTAGGGACATGGTGTTAAGTTGCTAGAAACTATGCTAGAGTTTAGTCAAGTCTCATAGTGCAGAAGTTTGGACAAGTTGTTATCTGAGGAAAGTTCTGCAGTTCTCAGAATTACATTTGGGGGAACAGGAAGAAATGGCTTCAGTTATATTTTTAATATTTTGTTTCTTAAGAGCTGAGAAATGTAGTACAGTAGGTTTTCAATGTTCTTTAAAGAGTCTAGACTCTGGTATACAGAATTTTTCATAATTTCAAACCTATTTGACTAAAATAAGCAGAAAGCATAGTCCAGCCATTTCATTAACAGCCAAGAATGTGTTTACTCTCTTCCCAAAAGGGGGATGATGCAGAGCCACAGGTTATTACACCCACTTCCAAGCCCAGGATCTTTGCGTGATGTTCAATCCTTCTGTGGGGAACATTTCTTTTAACATGGAATGAGGGTTTTGATGACAGCCATCAAAAAGAATAAAAGGCATGCATCCAGGTCAATTTACCATCCTAACCTCAAGACTTACATACACTGTATCCCTTCAACTGTTGGTGGGTTTACAGAAGCTTTTCTAAAATGGTTTTAAAAATGATTATGTTGGGGTGCCCGGGTGGCTCAGTTGGTTAAGTGTCTGCCTTTGGTTCGGGTCCTGATTGCCAGGGTCCTGGGATCCAGCCCCCACCCCAAATCAGGATCTCCCTCTGCCACTCCCCCTGCTTGTGCTTTCTCTTTCTCTCTCTGCCAAATAACTAAATAAAATCTTTTTAAAAATGTTTCAACTTATTTTTTTAAAAACTATTATATTTTATGTTTATATTTATATGTATTTTTATATATTTATATTTTATATTTTATTATTTTATATTTTTATATAACTATATAAAATATACTTATATTTTACAAACTATTATATCTGATGATTATTATATCAGTGATATATCAGATTATTATTTATTATTTTATTTATTTATTTATTTAGATTTTATTAGATTTATTTAGATTATTATTTATTATTTATTATATTATATATTATTATTATATCAGTGATATTATATCAGTAACTTGACAAGCTATTGTTTACTGGTTAAGGCATTTCTAATCCTCAATTGTAATATTCATGTTCATATAATTAAATCAGTGATTGCTTTATACTCTGGTAAAAGTATTATTTCATTAAAAATATCTCACTTCACATTTCAAGCAGTTCTTCACTTTGTAGAAGTAAAGTCAAAACTTCTGACTTCCTCTCTTTCTAATAGGGCCGTAGTCAGCTTCATGAGCATGCAACCTGGACAACAGCACAAGACCCTATGCTTAGAAGGGTCCTGCACTTGGTTTAGTGCTCTGCTATTGCCATCTGGAAGATCCTAATGATTTAGAAACAGGAGGTCTCTTGTTTTCTTTTTGTATAGGGCCTCCCACAAATTCTGTGGCCAGTCCTAGATAGGGTTAATATGATATTAATATATAACCCATTGGGAACAAGATCTCACTTGAAATTGGTTAATGATAATATTTTCATTTGTTCTTTACTCATCAGCCTGTTCTGTGTTCTGCTGAGTTCACTCTGAGCTCATGATACTCACCAAGATGACATCCTCTTCCTTCAGTGTTAATTCTAGAAATCTGATTGTTAGGTGAAGTCCTTGAAACTTGATATGCCTTTGGTTCCTCTTTCTTGAGCAGGTTCTACTTGTTTACTTTCCACAGTGTATGGTGTTTCCTCATGTTTTGCTTGTTAACATCCAAGCTACAGTTCTGACAGATCTAGGTGGTAGGTGATTCCTCTGGCCACAAAGCCCTTTGTCCTCTTTCTCTTGCACTGGATCAAGGTCATCCACACTTTACCCTTACCTTGTCTTATCTTCTGGAAGGACAAAAACCACACTGGGTTGTTGAACTCCAAGCTGCTGAGTTATTACTGACCCTTGCTGATGGGTTTCTTTCTTTTTTTTTTTTTTAAAAAGATTTATTTATTTATTTATTTATATGACAGAGATCACAAGTAGGCAGAGAGGCAAGCAGAGAGAGGAAGGGAAGCAGGCTCCCTGCTGAGCAGAGAGCCCGAAGCAGGGCTCGACCCCAGGACCCTGGGATCATGACCTGAGCCGAGGGCAGAGGCTTTAACCCACTGAGCCACCCAGGCGCCCCTGCTGATGGGTTTCTTACCATAAGTCCTTCTTCTTGCTCTGGATCTTGTTTGTCCACATTTTCCCCAATACACCTCACTTCCTGAGATGACAAAGACTATGCTACGGCCACAGAGCATTTCCTAGCTGGCTGCAAATTTTTACAGGAGTAACTTCTGAGTATTTTGTGCTTTAAGAAATCTCATTGTCCTGCCATTTACCTCAATTGTTATGGCTTTTATTTTTATTTTTTTAAGATTTTATTTATTTGACAGAGAGAGACACAGCAAGAAAGGGAACACAATCAAGGGAAGTGGGAGAGGGAGAAGCAGGCTTTCCAATAAGGAGGGACCCCAATGCGGGGCTCAATGTGTGAAGCTTGATCCCAGGACCCTGGGATCATGACCTGAGCAAGGCAGACAGACGCTTGATGACTGAGCCACCCACACATCACTGTTACATGCCTTTAAAATATAGCATGGGGGGCGCCTGGGTGGCTCAGTGGGTTAAAGCCTCTGCCTTCAGCCCAGGTCATGATCCCAGGGTCCTGGGATCGAGTCCCACATCAGGCTCTCTGCTCAGCAGGGAGCCTGCTTCCTCCTCTCTCTCTCTCTCTCTGCCTGCCTCTCTGCCTACTTGTGATCTTTCTCTGTCAGATAAATAAATAAAATCTTAAAAGATAATTTTAAATATAGCATGGGACTACAAGTAGATCTCTCCTTAAAAAAAAAAACAAAACTTTTCAACAGCTAGAGAAGAAATCATCTGTCTGTATTTTCTTACATTTCTCTTTTTTCCTAATTTTAAGAGGATTTCATCAATAATACTAGGAACTCTTTCGTTTTTTTACTTCTCTATATCCCTCTAGAGCAGAGGGAGTTGGAATCTCTTTTTGTATAGACCTGATGCCGTGCTAAGGTGATGCTGATAGGGGTGACCATCTGGAACTGTGAGGTGCACAGGCATTCCAAGATGCGTGTCCAACAAAGGCACACCCAGTCATCCACAGGGTATGTTACCTGCCTGTGTTTGTGCATCTAATTGTATCCCCACATCCAAATTAGTATAGAATTATGCCATATTATCTTGGACAAAATCAAGTTGCAATTTTCATGAAGGAAAATTTAAGTGTCTTGTTTTTTTTTTTTCTTAAGTCTCTTGGTTTTAAATGAAACTATAAAGAAACAGAAATATTTTTCATCTATCATTTGCTGTTCTGTGCTATAGAATT